ATTTTATAACTTATTTGTTATTAGTATTTAGGTATAAATTATTTTTTCTTAATAGCTTAAAAGTTGAAAAATTAAATCAGCCTATGTTCACATAATTATTTTATTAGCTTCGATGGGAAGCTGAGAAGGTAATGGTTTTACTATGATGTGTTTTTTAATTTTTTTTTTTGTGTCTGTTACAACTTTTTCTCAGTCTCACCGAACCNATTTTTTTTTTTGTGTCTGTTACAACTTTTTCTCAGTCTCACCGAACCGATTTCTTTCAATGATACGTCAAAAGATTACATATCGTATCTAGTCGAAGACATTACCCTCAAAAATTTCCCTCGTTCCCCGTCATTGGAGGAAACCCCCCAAAAATTACAAATAAAAAAAATCGCTAATTTTTTCAAATTTTTTACTTAAAATTACCATAACTTTTTTATATAGATGCATGATATCGTTACTTTTCATTTGATATATCTTTTTTATAAATCTGATCCTTTACCTGCCCACGGTGGGATTTAAAATGACAACTTTTTCACAAAATATTTTCCACTTAAATTTTTTAAATGTCCCGGACAGCATGACACTTTTATCTATATCTTAAATTAAAGCTAATGTAATGTATTTTTTTATTTAAAAAAATTTCGGACCTTATTTTGTCTTCACGGGGAAAATGAAAACCAAATGCTATTTTTGTGTGAAAATTCTCGATTTTGTATTCTACATTTTTAACTTTATAATGCTATATTTTTTTGAAAAATGTATGGATCAACACAATTTTTTTATGAGAAATAAAATTTTTTAATAATCCCTTTCTCATTCGACATATACTTTATCTTAATTAGGATATTAATAAGGAAATAGGAGATCATGTAGCTTTGGAATAATACACCAATTTTTTTTAATTAAACACAATCTAAAGATTTACATCAAATCGTTTTTTATGATAGTGATTTTAATCACTGTCAGATATCATTATACTTGATCCAACTATGCCACATTATCACTGTGCCGCGACCCCCCTGTACTGTGTTTTTTTGTACTCAAAACTGCCATAACTTATTGAAATTTTAACAAATCAAAATAGTATATTTTTATATTGAAACCTTAGGTATTTTTCTTTCATTCAATTTTTTTAAAATTTAATCCTTTATTCGTCCACAGGGGAGTAAGTAAAATAGTATTAAAAATAGCAACTTTTTCACAATAGTCAATTTTTTCAACTTAAATTTTGAAAATGTTCCGGAAATAGTACGTTTTTTAAACACATGTCAAATTAAAGCTTATGTTACATACTATAAATTAAAAAAAAATCTTGATCATGTAACTTTTGGAATTATCCACTAATTTTTTAAAAATAAACACAAATTTTGAACTTGTAATATTCATAGAATGGGATACTGTCTAAGGAGGAGTAGAGAGAGCCCCCCACTAGCATTTCATGGGAAACAAATAATGGAAAATGATATAAGGGCCCAAAATTGTTGGCCCCTCCAATAAACATTTTCTGGCTACGTGCCTGAGCCTGCGTATCTGAGCAAATGAGAAAAGAGGTATCAAGAGAAACAGAAATGTAGCGAAGTGCATTGACAATAGCAATGCATTCGGTAGTAAAAGACGAAGAAAGGGGATGCAGGTTAATGCAAAAGGAGATATTAAGTTTTGGCTAATGAGGCAGACCCATCAGTAAAAATCAGACGAGAGTTGGGAAACTTTGTAGAAATATAGTGAGAGAATAAATTATTAATAATGGTCGAAGAAAGAAATTGAAGGTTATAAGGTTAGAAGCCTAGGAAATTAGAACATGAACGGAAAGGGTGATGATTAAGGTCTCGTATGGACAGTTATAAATAAGACGACTATAGGAATTCTGGATATGATTAGTGAGAGGAGAAAATGAAGAACATATAGAAGCAATTTTTGGAAGAGATTTGGGGACATAACGCCAGAGTTGGCGAACGGTTTTAAAAAGATTAAATATTGAGGGTTTAGGACAGGAAATAGATTTTAGAAGAAATTTGCCCGCTAAACGACGATAGGAGGACAACAGCATTCAATTTCGAGGCTGGGAACAAGAGTAGAAGGAAGGGCGCCTAAAATTGAGCTTAAACAAAAAGCCATTACTGAATTAAGCTTATTACGGTGACAAAATGATGCAGAGGAGAAAAGAAATGAACCGTAGTCAATCTTAGCGCGAATAATAGAGTTAAAAATTAATAAAAGGGAAGAGGGGTGGGATTTCCAAGATGTCCCAGTAATACAACGGAAAAAATTAGACCAGCGCGATTCAAAAGAAAAAAGGAACTGGAAATGAGGAACTCATCTTAACTTGGTATCTAAGATAAGTCCTAAGCAAGTAACAGTATTGGAGGGGGGTATTAAATAACCATTTAAAGTGACTATAGGGATAGAGAGAGGTCAATGTTTTCTGGTAAAAATAATAAATTGATTCTTTCAGGAGCTGGGGTGAAGTAAGAAGAGAGAAGGTTTTGGTAGAGTATGGATAAAGAGTCGTTGAGAATAGCTACAGAGTGATCAAGTGATTTATCCGAAGAAAAAAGGACAATATCATCAGGATAAAAGAGGGAGGAGAGGTCATTACTGATAGTACTCATACATATATTGAAAAGAATGGGACTAAGACAGCTCACTTGTGGAAGCCTACGAAAAGAAGAACGAGAAATAGAAACCCCGGAAGCGGAGGAGAAGTGTAGGAAGCGATGAGAAAAAAGTGAGAAAATAAACATTACAAAGAGAAGTGGGTAGTTCAATAGCGTTTAAGCGTTTTAAAAGAGTAGGAATACGAACTGAGTCGAATGCGCCCTTGATATCTATAAATTTTGCTGAAAGGAATTTTTTTTTGCAAAAGGAGTCATATATGGATCTTATAAAGGAAGATAGACACTCCATAGTGCTTAAGCCTCTCCTAAAATCGAATGGGTTATTCGGGATGAGATTATTTTTAATATGTATTCTACTATTTTACAGAGAGACGAGGAGAGGGCAATAGGTCGAAAAGGAAGAGGGAAGAATTAGGTTTAGGGATAAGAATGACGTGAAATTTTTTCCAGGAGGTTGGTAAGGCAGTTGGTCCATAAAGAGTTTAAGATTGATAGGAGTGTCCAAGCCTAATTGAGGGATTTTTAGCAAAGGAGAGATACCGTCCAGACCGGACGTTAAAGAGGACGAGAATGAAAGAAAAAAATTCAAAGAATGAATTAACAAGGATAACTCTTTGGCAGTGAAGGGCATAGTTAAAGGATGTATGGAAAGATTGAATGAACTGGAGGTAGGAAAAGATGAAGGTGTTAATTCTTCGTGAGAAGGGATGCCAGATGGCGCAACTTTATTACAAAACGAAGGAAACCAAGATTCATTTAGGGAAACTGGGCGACGATTAATGTAGTTTTTAATTTTTTTGGCAACTAGCCAAAGCTCCTGAATAGATGTAGAGTGATTAAGGGAAGAACAAAATGAATGACAAGAATTTTTTTTAGCATATTTTAGAGTGCGAGCGGTGGAAGATCGTATACGTTGATAAGCAAGAAAGTCAGAAATAGAACCGGAGGATCTGTACTGACAGAAAAAAACTGAGCGTTCTTTAACAGCGGCCGTACATGTAGAGTTCCACCAAATATGGGAAGGAGGAAAATTTTTTTTCAGAGTCGCAAGGTTTCGAATTAAGGAGAGATGATTCAACAATAGAGCGGAGCGATTCTAAGGAAGATTATGAGTTAGGATTTTGAATAAGTGAATGGGAAAGTTGATCTATAAAAGAAGGAATCCATACATTGTTATTATGATGAGAAGAGTTAATAGAAACTATGTAATTAAAAAAAATATCATTAGGGAAAGAGGAAACCTAGTTAAGAGATTGAGAAAATGGAAGTTGGGAGAGAGACTTATTATTATTATAATTTTTTTTTAAGTTTGTGTGATGAAGGGGGAAGTAAGGGGAAGGGAATACTATAGGTGTAATTGGAAGGAGGATGAGGGCTAGTTGACTGCACATGTTGTATATTTTTAGTAGTATCATTACAAACACTATTTTTATTTACCATACTGGCAAAAGAAAAAGCAGGGTTGACGATACTAGAACGTTTAATTTGAGCAGCTTCAGAATAGGACACGTTGTTAGTGGCCATAATTTTTTTTATCTCCTTTTGGATGGTCCATTCGGCGCAAGAGTGATCAGTTGAGGGGTGGTTCAATTTACAGAATATACATGAGGGTGGGAAGGTTGCTTTGAACAGGCATGTAGAAGCATTATTTGCCGGATCGCAGTGGCCACGGCGTTCTTTGCTGTGGCAGAATTTTTGAGTGTGTCCAAATCGAAGACTTTTGGCGTATTGGACGGGCTGCGTACACTTGGAGAAATGTCGAAAATAACCTTGTAAATAGTTAGATGTTTAGGTAAGGACGGAGCCAAAAATTTCAATTCGATAAGTGGCGAGAGCACAAGTAAGTTGTCTCGCTTAGAGTTTAATCTTCTGAAAGAAATAACTTCGACAGAGGACTCAAGGCCATCTCAGAAATCAAAATCCGAAACATTGGTGTCTAAACGAATAATACCTAAACTATATAAAAGAGTGCTTGGAATAGAGGTGTTTAATCCATTTTCATAGTGGTAGGGAAAGATAAGAAAATAATTGGCATTGGATATTGTATCGAAAGTAATTTTAACACGTTTAGAACTTATAGGTTTGATGTTAAGAATGTCTTTATATGATTTTGTGATAACTTTACCAAATTTTACGGGATATAAATTACCTATATTGTTATTGTCGGTCGTAAAATTTAACACATTTTTTTTGGCATACCCCCACTTTTTTATGAGACAGTAAATTTATCCAAACAGAATTTTTAAAATATCATGTTTTCATAAAAATAAAATTTTGCTGTTAACGATTAAAATCTTGTTAAACCAAAAATTTTTTACATTTATTAATATCGACCTTATATAATCTAATACTTAGATATATCTTTATATCAAAGACAAGGGTGAACTGGTAAATCATGAGATTTCTAAATGGCCTGTTTAAAAATTATGAATAAATTATTTTTAAAAAAATTTAATTAAGGATTTTTTTTTTTTTGCTATTAAAAATATAATTTTCAGATCGCACTAAAGTAGTCAATCCACCCATAATCAAGTGTGACTATCACAAGTTAATTATTTTTAAATAGAACTTTTGAAAAAAAATTTAAATGTAATTAGTAGTAGCTTCCCAAGTAGAAAATCATGATGCTTTTAAATTGACTACTTACTTATTTATTTAGTTTTGAGACTTAAAAGAGCAATTATTAATTTGATTTAATATTTCTTATTTTTATTAAGTATAGATTTTGTAGCACCATAAANCAGGCATTGATTTAAACTTACTGATAGCTTAATTATAATTTCTTTGTTTGTTTCAAGAAAATATTTAATCTTTCAATAATATGACCTAAGCTCATCAAATAATGAAAAAATAGTTTATTAAAAAAAAAAACTATAAGTGTAGGAGGGTATTATTAAGTACATAAAATGAGGTTGATGATATAATATATCATCATTTGTTTATACATTATATAAACAAAAATATTGATAAACTAAATTAGCAGTTTTAGTTGAGTTTTACAAGAAAAATTGTTTTTTAATACTCCTATTATAATCACTATATATATATAAATTATTTATTTTTCATATATTTTTTTAATTAGTACTTATATAAAAAATCAATATAAATATCAATAAATTTCGCTCTAATAATTAATATTGTCAAATTATATATATGGAACAATTAATTAACTATCAAGTAATCTGTCAAATATATCATCAGGTGTTAAAGTTTTAGCTACTGAAAATTGAGATCCAAGAATTTTCATGATTTCACCATGTTTTAAAAGTGGATTTTCTCGTTTTGCTTTTCCATAATTTTCTTTTACAAAAATTGCGAACTTAGATGGCTTTCGTGGAAGTTTATTAGTTTGTGGCTTATCATCTATTTTATACAATTCTTTTAGAGGATCAGTTTGAAGACCTTGCAAATTAATATTAACAGTTGGATTTTTATTCATTTTATTGACAATCAATTCAAATTCTCCATAACAGTAACCACATCTTTTTTTTTCCAAATTTAATGATTTGGAATGTCGTCCAATACTGAAATGCAAACAAAAAGTTTATTGATTTTATATTTTAATAGTACAATTTTTTTTTAAATACATCATTTCCTCACATAAAATATGGTATTATACACTTTTTTAAGTCAAATTCAATTTCAGTTTATAATTTAAAAATATTATCTAAACAAAATATTTTTAAATATGGTTTAATTGTATTTATAAAGCAATTAACTTAGAGCAATATACCTATAACCACATTTCATGCATTTATAAGTATATTTTGTTTGAATTGCATAACTATGACATCTTTTAATAATTGGCAACTCAGGGAATCTTTTCATTGCTTTATTTGCCCAACTTTTCCAAGCTGGTCCATGGCCTTCAGCTACACCATTAAATNTTCATTGCTTTATTTGCCCAACTTTTCCAAGCTGGTCCATGGCCTTCAGATACACCATTAAATATCCAACAAGCAGCATGGCAAAGTTCATGAATCAATGTATCCCTCAGTCTTTCAGCAGTGTCAATTATCTGCAAAAAAAAAAAAAAACCTTGAAAATATTATAAGTGCATTTATTATTTTTAATAGTAAATTATTAGAAAGTATTATTTAAATACATTACCTTTGAAGAAAGCTCAATTCGGGAAATTCGAACACAATCTAAATTTTCATTAATTTTTACTGAACGTCTATTAAAACAAGCTCCAGCAGTTGTTCTTAATCGTGCATTCCATTTAAAATTCATATCATCAGGAAGCTAAAATCAAAAAGTTTAATAAATGTTCATTTTGTAAAACTTAACAACTATTAAGTAACTACTAATTTAAGAGTTTGAAAAATATTTTAAAATCTGACAAAGAATAATGCTGTTTTTAAATGATTTCTATGGTCACAATAATAGTATTTATATTTTTAATAACCTTGGACAACATGCCATTAACAAATTATAGAATAGCTAAATAAAGGGTTTAAACATTTTAGAGTATTNATTATAGAATAGCTAAATAAAGGTTTTAAATATTTTAGAGTATTTTTACACAATATATGCAATAGATACCATTTAAATATAATATTTTATTTATAGCATTATAAAACGTATATATATTTTTAAATATTTTGTTTTGTTAAAAATAAAATAGTCTGGAAAACGCAGTTGAAATAGTTGATATATCAATTACTGTCTATGTATATCTATTGTAACAAAGTCCAAATATATCCAGAATAACTGTTAGTATTAGGTAGAATAAAATTTACATAATATTAAATAGTATTATTTGATGAACACCTGAAGTGGATTTTTCACTATGAAAATTTAATAATGCATATGAGAAAAAGTTTTTATATCTCTAAGGAATTGTGTCAAATTATAGATGTTAACAATATTATAATTGTTTATTTTGCTATTGTACAATTAATATTAAATTATGGTATTATTGCATGAGGTTGTGCATATAAAAATGAGCTTGATTCACTTATTGTGGTGCATAGATTTTGATCAGAATCATATTGAAGCAATATAGTGCTGATAAAAGTTGTACATATGAACTATTTAAGAAAATTTTAATTCTTACAGTATAGCACTTTATGGAAAAAAAAGCAGTCATGAAAATACACTTAATGAAAAAACAATAAAAAATTAATTATATGAAAACCACCAGAAGTACAGACGAAGGAAATTTACAACTAATAAAACAAAATATTATACTAATTAAAATGTTATATATATATATAGGGGGATAAAATTTTACAATAGAAATAAAATATATCAATTACTATTTAGTTGGAAGTATTATATTATATTGTTAATTAAAATAATTAGTAGAATTATATAATTAATGAATTGTAAACCACTAAGCTTTTTAACCTACTAATTTAACATTTATATTTAAAAAGTTTTTAGATATTTTTTCTATTAATAAATAATATCCGTCTCGTCCATAATTGGCTTAGATTAGAACCTTCTTTGTCTCCCTAACATGTGAAAGAGGGGTGGCCCTCTTTCACATGTTAAGTTTGGGAGATAGATGGATCTAATCATTATTAAACTTTTTATAAGTTAAATAAATACCTTATTTTCAAACACTTCTTTATTGAACAAATCAAATAATGCAGATACTAAGTCATCTTTGTTCTTTTTAAATTTAAATTTATATTTTTCAGCTTCAGGGTGACATTTTAATGAGCCGTTATAACCTATGAAAAAAAAAAAAAAAATTAAAACTGTTATGCATTTATGAAAAAAGGATGCTAAAAAACAACAGATATTTGTATTTATGAAATAATTTAATTAAAAAATATTTGAATATGCAAATAATTAAGTTAATGATCCTTACATGAGAGTGAACTAAGAAAAGACAGCATTGAATCACTATTTTCTGATTTAACATTTTTCAATTCTTTTTTTGGTAATGGCTTGCTTAACAAACAAATTTCTTGGGTCTTGTTTTTTTTTGGAAATATTCTATAAAAAAAGATTTCTACATTTGTTGCTTACTTTGCTTAATGCATCGTGCCTCGTTGTATAAGTACAGAGGTTAGATACTATTGCAATAAGCTAAGTAGATTTTCTATGCTTTCTGGCATGAACAATAGATCTTAAAAGAGGACGTAAGACATAAATATATAAATAATAATTATAAAACTAGAATAATTAATTAAATATAATATAAGGTACTTTTTTTTTTGAAATTCATTTAATATTTACTTTGATACCTTATATCATTTAAGTTTAATATTTGATATGCTATTCAATATATTAAGTAAATATAATTCAATTTTATAAATTAACTAAAGGATTCCAAATTTTCTTCTGATACCATAAATAAAATTTTATTAGTTATAAATTTTAAATAAGTATGTAGCCGTTTTGAATGATTATGATCATACTAAAATGAAAACGAGGCATAGTGTGGACGTGGCATAGATGGGAAAAGTATAGATAAGTAAAAAAAAAAAGTAATCAAATAAATCTTTTATTTCTATTAAAATTGTAACATCAAATAAACTTAAGAAGCCCAGAGGCAGGGATAACCATAAAACATTGGACCCAAATTTTACACAGCTCATTTTGATAAGCACAAAAAAATGGGTAGCACAATGGGGCACAACACAGTGTGAAAGTAGGATAGTTAAGACAAGTATAGATAATATCTGACAGTGATTAAAATCACTATCATATGAAATTCTTCAATGCAAATCTGTATATAGTGTTTAATTACAAGAACTTGGTGGATAATTACAAAAGCAACATCAACATTTATTTCCTTAATTATATCCTGATTAGTGGTTCTTTGATTTAAAAATATAACATATGAATAAATACTAATTAAATTTAGTATGAAATTGATATTCAATAACATATTATTGTCATTTTTACAGAGATATTATAAAAATAAAAAGGAGTTGTATATTTCTTTACTTTTAACGTGTATAAAAATTTAAAGGGATTGATGCAATACTTTTTAATAAAAAATTTTTGTTACTTATGAATAAACTCACTAGACTACAAGGAACTTTCATCAGAAACAAAAATATACTTTTCTAAATCAACTTTTTGTGATGTTTTCAAATGCACAATTAAACTTTTTCTATTACTTCTAAGTTTTAATATTATTACTTATTATTAAAAAATAAGTATTTGCATATAAAAAAAAGTAATTAAGAAAAAAAAAAAAATTGTTTTAAATTAATACTGATTTTGATTATTATTATGTTAAAAATAAGGAAAATGACATATTTAACCTACTTTTTTAATCACTTAAAGTTGATTCTGTAAATGTTTATAGTAAAAAAAAAAAAAATTATTTATTTTACCATATCTTTAGTTCAATTGGCAAGTTTGAAATTGACATCATTAAATAGAAAATTTTATGAGAATTATAAAAATTATATTGTTAGGATTAATATGCAGTTAGAAAAATTATAAATACTATTTATAGAAAATTTATCAGAATAGCTCAATATTTTTTTGCATTTTTATTGAAATAGATACTTAAATAGAAGTAATAGTAATCATTTCCTAATAACTTTTGGTGTTTAAAAAGATTCTGCAATTGAAATATTCAGAACTTAATTTTAATGATTTACTTTAACTAAATGAACCTATCAAAACAAAGTTGTTAAAAAAATTTACTCAATTGGGCGTATTATAAAATTTGATTATAATTGTAAAAATCCATTGTTAATACAGGAGAAACTAATAATCATTTTTTTTAGAAATGATTTATATAGCAACATGTTACCGAAAAATTGGAATATTATAGTCTAATAGTAGCATACACAATTAGAGTAAAAAAATTATTAAATTACAAAGTAAAATAATTTAATTTTGTATTTCAACCTATCATATCGAATTTAATGCGTCAATAAATACTTTGAAAACATTATAAATGATTTTAATTGTCTGTATGGAGAACGTGGGATAAGTAATTGTTTAATTGATAAATTAGAGTTTTTTTTTCAATTTTTATGTGTAATATTTTCAACTAGATACAAATTGTAGTCATTTGACGTATCATTGAAAAAAGTAGGTAATATTAGAGCAAAAAAATAAAAGATAATCACAAAATATACCTTCTCAGCTTTGCATCGAAGCTAAAACCTAAAATATAGTAAAATAATTTTAATATGAATAAGAAATTTCTTCTTAAAATTTGATAAAAATCAAAGCAGTTGAAAATTTATTCTAACTTAAAAAGAATTAAGAAAAAATGCAAAAAGTTCATTGCCATACGCGGGTTGGAACCTTGTACCTTTAGCGCGTAAAACACAAGTTCTACCGACTCTGCAACTGTACGTTGCTACTGTCGGCTGAAAAAAATAGCTATTTAAGTTAGTTTAAATTTTAAAGTTATTTTTCTCGACTTAAAAATAGCAAACAAATTTAAATAAGTTTAACTTTCTATGCTATATCAATTTTATTTATATAATATTTATCGAAATCAGTGTACTCCCCTTCTTGTCATGCATTTTAAAATAAAATAAAATACAAAAACCAGAATTTTAACACAAAAAGAGCATATTTTTGAATATGGTAGTCATTTTCACCATGAAGACAAATGCAGAGAACAAATTTATTTTTTTCAAATTAAAGTATATTACATTAGCTTTAATTTAAGGTATTTATAAAAATGTCAGTCTTTCCAGAACATTTTCAAAAGTTAAGTTGAAAAAGTTACCATTTTGAAACCCAACCTGTGGGCTGGTAAAGAGTCAAATGTTCACAAAAATATATAAAATACCTAAGATATCTATAAAAGACAAATATATAATCATTCGGTTATTTTTAAAAAAGTTATGGCACGTTTATGTAAAAAAAATTGACAAAATGTTGAATTTTAAATTTGTAATTTTTTGGGGGATTTTTCCGTTTACATGGAACCAGGGAATTTTTTTTCAAATTTTGAGGGTAATGTCTTCGACTAAATAGGATTTGTGATCTTTTGACATATTTTTCATCAAAATATGTGTAGTGAGAGCTGAGATTGAGTGGTAACAGACACAAAAAAAACCAGTAAAATTAATACTTTCTCAGCATCGCATCGAAGCTATAACATGTTGTAATCATATTAATAATAAAAATATGATATTGTTAGTTTGTTTTATTACTTACAGTGAGCCAGATTTATTTAAAGTAGATGATAATGGAATAACATCATCTTGTTTATTTGAAAAATTAAAATCGATTCTAGCGTCTGAAAGACTGATGTTCCTATAATCATTAAACAAATATTAACATTGAAACTTTGATAGTAATTATTAAATTTAAAGTTATTATTTGGTAATATTATTGAAAATTAAAAGGTAATTCAAAATTATGGTATACATTACAGTTTAGCTACACATAAAAATTAGGGAGAACTAAGTGCATAAAAAAAAAAGTAATCAAAGGATTATTTCCTTTCTTTAATTTAGCAGAGAAGTGTCTGGTCTGTTATGTGATAAAAGAATTCCAATGAGGCTGAAAGGTAAATTCTATAAGACTGTAGTGAGATCAGCAATGATTTATGGTTCATAGTGTTGGGCGGTTCACAAGAAAGTATAGCAGAGATGAGAATGCTTAGATGGACGAGTGGAGTGACTAGAGAAGATAGATAAGGAACAAACGTATAAGAGGGAGTATAGGTGTAATGTTAATCATAGATAAGATGAAAGAAAATAAACTAAGATATGATTTATTCATGTTATGAGAGAGGAATCGGAAGCGGTAAGAACAGTTATTGAAATGAGTGTTGAAGGAAGAAGAGGTAGAGGAAGACCAAAAAAGAGATAGAGGGATGTAATTGATTGCGTTATGAGGTTGGCTGATGTGAGTGCAGATAATGTAGGTGATCATGTCAAGTAGAAGTTTAGAATAATGATGGCCAAACCTAAGTAGTTGGGATTAAGGCGAGAAAAAAGAAAAGATATACTAAAAGTTATTTTAAAATGATTTTTTTAGTGAAGTTTACAAGAAATTAGGTTTCAAGCATATAAATTACTATAGTAAAATATTAAAAATTAAATTAACTCCCAAAAAAAAAAAAAAAATTTGAAAACTATTTCTGTACCTAATAAGCAGAAGGGTAAAAAGTTTACATTTATTAAATTTCACTAATTAGTGTTTTGTCATGGAAAATTTCACTGTGCATTTGATATTTATTTAAAACATGATATATATTAACAGATTTATTAATAAATTAAATGAAGTTTTAGTAGAGATTTATGAGAAAAAAAATAATTATAAGCTTTTCTTGAAAAGCAATAATAAATCCTTTTACTTTTTGAGTACAGAAATAAATAATTTAAAAGAATGTTTTACATAAAACTTTCAGAAGTAAGATCCAGTTCTTTTTGAATATTTTTAGTAGGTGTAAGATTCGCCTTTCCTTTTTCTTTATAATTTATATAGCAAGATTCACATTCAGATTTGCTGTCAATTATTGATTCTGATGAATTTCTAAAAAAATTATATTTAAATTTAAAATGGTTATTTTTAAAAATTTAATTTTCATATTTAATTTCTATATAATGGAGAATAAAAAAAAGTTAAAAGTAAACATTACAAATCTTATGTTATGCAATTAGTTCATGATTTAATTTAACTCAAAGTTTTTAGTAAAATAAAAATTATTTTACATAAATTTCACAGCACCAAGTGAGTACTTTTTATAAAGAAAATGATAAAGTATATAAAATATTTTTAAGTTAAATACTGGTTATTGGTATACAATTTTTTCATGAAAAAATCATATTTTAAATGATCACATTTATTTAATTATAAATTTTTATTAATTTTTTGGAACCATAAAATATAAATAAACAAATTATAATATTTACAAACTTTAAAATACTCTAGAAATTTAACTACAAAACATTAATAAAATATATTGGTACCAAATGTTTTCTTTAAGTTTATTCCACAAAATAGCTATTTTTAAAAATTTTACGTACATTTTAAATTTTTTACTATTTCTACATAAGTTAAAATATATATTACATTAAAACTATAAACTAAAAGTGAAATAATTATTAAAAAAAAAAAAAAAGAGAGTAATGTAAAATGTTGATTAAATCAAGTTATTGAATTGGTCATATTTTTGTGACATATCTGGTATTTATATTCATATATAGAAATAAGAGTTTTAAGTAGTAAATAAAAACATTTTATATCACACAAGTGAAATAGGTGGATATTTTTAATGTATATGTAGTCACTTCATAAAGTTTCAATGAGGTCTTACAACCAAAATTAAAATTATTACCTATGTAAATACATTTTTCAAGTGTTGTTAACTTACTCATCATCATTTTCAAACAATTTTTTTTTAATGTCTTTTTTTGGAATATTGAATATTCCATCAATTTTTCTCCATTGGCGACCATATAAACGATCCAAAACCTTTGCAGATTCAGATAATCTATCTAGCTGAATAGCTAATTTATTAGGCGTAGAAAAATTATTTTCAGTGTCAATTAAATTGTTTTCTTTTTCCGACACAATAGGATATTTTACTGAAGCTATATAATCACTTTTTTTTTCTAAATTGCTACTAGAAGCAGATTTAAAGCTTTCTTCAGAGTTAGAACTATTAACAGTCAAATCCTGTATGCTTGAATTTTTTTTGATATTAAAAATATCAAATTTTGCATAACTATCATTATTTTTCAAATTTAAGGTTGCATTATTAGTTAGATCAATATATTCAATAAAATTTGTGTTGTCTAAATCGTTTTTTGAATTTAAGTGGGTTGTCTTAGATTTATAAACATCAATTAATTCTATACTAGAATCTGAAGAATAGAATTCATCAATATTAACATTATTATCATATGTCATATTATTTCTATTGATATTTTCTCCTGAATTTTTATTATCTCTGGTACATAATGTCAATTTTTCTGGAAAATATATAAATAAAATCAAAAATAAATTCAATATTTGCAGGTTTAACATTTCCATTTATCAAAAAATATATATAATTAGTAAATACAGTAAGTTATGTTTAATATGGGGACAATTTTTTTTTATTTAATAATTTAAAATGACATTAATTATATTATCGGAACAAATCTACCTTACGGGACACCTTTTTTTTTCATAATGTTCGTTTTTTTTCAAAAGTGTTTGAAAAAATTGAGGGAAACTTTTAGTTCAAAAATTATAGCATTTTAAAGTTTATACGTCATAAGATTAAAAATAGATCCAAAATTGTTTTTTTTTGTTAATTTTCGGGTTTATTTTTCATGAAAATATTGTGAAACTACAATGACGTAACTCATAAGTAATTTTCTCTCTTAAAAAAACATAAAAACCAAAAATAATTTGGAAAAAATTAGAATTTTCCAATTTTTTCTTTCCTCCCGCCCAAAATTCGCAATACTAAAAAATGGGTTTTCATAGAGCTATTACTTAATTTTCGTATACAATACAAAAAAATTGGTTATGAGTGATTACGTAATTACATGAAACCCAATTAATTTAAGTTGAGCAAAAAAAAGACTACAATGTGGTGTGTCTTTATAGTTAGTTCAATAAAACACGAAAAGAAAAGTTTTTACTCTATATTAGGTATACTAAATAACACTTGTTAGAAATAATAAAAAAATTTAATTACAATTGATATTGAAATTTTAGTATTCAACTTAATACTATTTAAAATATTTGCATCTTTGTTGGTTTCAGCGCGACTTTGCACAACAGTAATACAGTATATCCTTATTACTTCCTGAAATAGTTGTACATAATGATGCTTAACATACACACTAAGTATTGTTATAAAGATAACAGATTGCGACACTTGCTAGTTTTATTAAACGACCCCCTTTGACAACCTTCTGCTTGAAACTTACCATTTAACGCTGTATCAATGTTTCATTAATATTATGTTTATAAAAATGCTTCTCAAGTTGGTATAAAATTTTAGACTAGAAAAATGAAATAACTTTCAAGAAAAATTATTGATTTTTATAACCTATATTATTTAACTACAATCGCAATTTTAAAGCACTATAACTTTTGACCCACACGATTCCACTCAAAAATTTTTACATATTCTTAATTTGCATTTAACAAACATTAAAAAAAAAAAATTTTGAAAAAAAAAGGGTATAAAGTAGATTTATACAATATTACCAAAATTTATACTGTTCGTTTCAAAAACTATTATATAGCCTAAAAATGTTAATATATGTTTACAAGGAAAGCAGAAATAATGATTTATTTATGAGAGTATGGTTAAACAACCTTACATAAAGAAAATTTTAGATATAATATTGGGAACTAATAATTATAATAGACAAAGAAAAAAGAACTAAAATTATTTCAGCTTCTTTCAAAATTCTACTTTAAATTTTTTTTAATTAATATTTTTCAATAACTGATTGGTTTAAGTAGTAATATCCCATATCCCAATAGAAATTTTTACTGACATTTACATTTATTTATTACATTTTTTAGTTATGATTAGGATATAAAATGTAATAATACATATATATAATCAGTAAATATCAATTTTAACAATGTTAATCAGAAATTATTCACTTTATAAAAATAATCTCACCTTTACTATGATTTTTTATTTTTATTCTTTCCATTTGTAATAATCAAAAATTTATTACTGTAAAAGTAAACAAAAATTATTTTTTAGAATTTAATAATAAACAGACATTAAAATATACAAATCACCATTAGCCAAAATATTATACTAGAAAAAGATGTAATCTAGTGCAAAATCTTGTTCACTGCTCTAAATATACAAAGAGTACATTGATTAGACCTGGTCAATATCCTAATATCATAGTCTAAATCTTGTGTTTAAATAAAAATTATTTTTGCAGTTTATATCAGATTTTTTAAACATAAATAGCAAAATACATTTTAATAAAAATACAACACTTTAAAATTATCAAAACCAGATTAGCTATATATATATTAGAGCACAATTTTTTATTCTTTTTCTGATATCATATTTTATTGAATATATACGTATTTTTTGACTCATAAATTGACTAAAACTATTTTTATACGTTACTTTAAAAAAATTGTTAACTTCTCTCTGCAATTTTGTTAAGACAAACAAAATAATCATAACAGAGAATTACAAGATGCATTAATCCAAAAAGTTCAGGATGCCATCAGTATTCTCCCTAAAGTTTACTCTACTTAAATGAAAAAAAGACGAATGCGATAAGAAGACATATCTATTAAAAATTGACTTTTTTAAAACCGTTAAAATTTTAAATTGTAGAACTCAATACATTGAAAAGTTGGCAGCACTGGTCATTAATTTTAAAAATAATGGTACTATGAATTCACCTACTCTAAAATTAAAAATTAGTCTTAACCATTAAATAGACAAGATATTTTCTATTCAGTGTCTCCACCTTGTAGTATAATTTAAATGTTAAAAATTCCTAACTCTAAAATACACAACAATTATCGAAATTTAAAACCCCAAATATGTAACGGGAGATTACAGAAAATTTTTTTTTTTCAAAAATGTATTGATTTATGTATGTTTATTTATTTTTAATCTTGTTCATTCTCCCCTTTCTTATCCCTTAAATTTTTATAAAATCTTTACTGGACGATAATAACTTTTGAACCGTTATTTGAGAAGATATTTTATTACTACTTTATATCTAGGTGGAAGGAGTAGTCCGGCTCAGGATATGTAATAATAGAAGTAATCACTTTTTTGTTAAAATAAATGTCATTTTTCATTTATATTGCTAAAAAAATGTAGATTGGAAATTTTTTTTCTTTACCTATAACATAAAATTTTTAAATGTCTTTGTTTTTATATGTATAAAAAATTACTTAAGACTGTAAAAACGAATAAATTGTAATATTTCGTGTTTTTTCTTGAAAATCTCTTAATACATAAAGTAATTTAATTCAATTGACAAACGTTTTATCCAACTTTTTTGCTTATCTTAAGAATATTTTTTCTTATTATTTCCTTACACCTCTCCATGATGTCAACATGTTATGTTTATACATAGCTACAGTGATATCATTTTTTATGAATAAATTGTTCATACTTAACTTTTATATTAAAATATAGAAAAGGAATATTCAGAAAACAAATAATAAAATTAAATTTATAAAAAGATTATGTTTTAAGATTATTTTGTATAAACATATATATATATATATATATTATAAAATTTAAGATTTAAATATATAAATCGCGGGATTTTGTTAGAACACAGTTTTTGGTCCCACTGGTTGCGGTATATACCAAGTACCACTGCCTTGCGTTCGACTTCTCAATACCCATGTAAACTCAAAAATTAGTTTGTGATTGTCGCCGATCATGTGTGGTTGTGTTTTCCGTTCTTGAAACATGTGCTGGCTATTAAACGTTGGCCGATCGTCGATGTTGTTAATATTGTGCGTCCGTCTATCCTGTGATAATGTCAAATATAGTTACTGTTGAAAAGAAATCGGAATCCAAGTCTAATCTTCAGTACTCTCCCACAATTCGTATTCATGCAGACCTCTTTGAACCTACTGAAAGCAGATATCCTGTTTTCAACTATCAGAAACTACTCGTCGAAGAAGTAAGCGACTGATAGTCTATCAGAGTTGCAATACGCATAATTTGTGCAGTGCGTGCTACATAGTTTTTCGTAATATGCAGCATATTGATGCAATTAGTAGTATTACGGTATATTTGGGATTCGGTGAGAAATAATATCCATAAGAAATTACTATTCTTGGAACATTTATTTGATTTTCTTTATAATTTATTTTTCTGTACCAAATTAATACCATTATCTCATTGAGTACTGTTTAGTATTACTGTTTACAATCTGCATTGGAGTATTTAGGGGGTGATACTGATTTATGTATTAAATTATTTTTTGGCCATTTTTATTTATTTGTCTCACACTAAAGTTTGCTGCTATTATGTGTTTATCATATCATATTTTCCTATTGAGTTTAGTTGAAATATGTACAATAATTTGTTAAAAATTGTTTTGATTTGTTATTTAGATAGCCAATTATGTAATAATTGGATAATTATCATACTATTTGTTATATTTCTAAGATTTTTGGAATATATATATACTTATGAATAATGAAATTTAAATTAGACTAATTTTAGTAATATAATTTTATTTTTTTTCAAATGTCTCTTCTAGGTCTATTATAATATACTGCCCAGAAATGTTTTTTTATGACAAAATTTAGTTTTTAAATGTAGTTGAGAATGTTTTTTATTATTTTTATTTATTTTTTAGTTATTATTTTAAATTTATAGTACATATTTTATTATATTATTCATTCCTTATAATAATGTCATATCTGAATAGTTTTAATTTTAAAAAAGGGGAGCGATTAAAAAAAAAAATTAAAAATATATTGATAATAAATAACTTAATTTGATCATAATCAGTTAAATCGTAAATTTTAGGTATAATAATTTTACTGGGATATACTACTTTTATGTAAAACTTGGTAACAAGTAAAACTAAATAACATCATATTTTGAAATATGACATTATTAAAAATAAATAAATATAATGAATTTATGCATGACAAATAAAATCAGGCATAATAGTTTTCCACAAAATCCTATTGTCAGCATTTATAAAAGTTAAATGAAATGGCTTGTGTTAAAACTTACATTCTTAAATATTTTTTAAGAAATTTAAAATCTCAAACATTAAGTAATTTTATATTCAATAGTGTAATATTTATATCATTTAAAAAATTATAATCATGATATTTTCTATTCATAATTATTTATTTTTGAAATTTAAATATTTAAGTTGTTAATTCCTAAATCTAACTTTGGTATCATCCAGAAATTTAATAATATTATTTACAATAACATCAAATATTTTGATTTCATATTCTAATATTTGATTTTTGTTATTAGACATTAAGACATCAATAATTATGATTATGATTGTAAAACTACATTAAATTTGTGTAATGAAATATTGTTTGCTATAATTATACATATTTTATTGTAAAGTCTTGGCAGAATATTAAATAATCCTGTGTATTGGCCAATTAAGATGTCAATAATTCCTAAAATTTTATACTTTATTTATTAAAAGATATTTTGATAAATTTCTTCCATGTTACTTTAGTGGTATAGTTATAGGAGCATGTTCCATTATTGACCACCATATTTATCAAATATTTTACATTTTTTAGGGTACCATAAGCTTATCAATAAGATTAAAAATAAATATGCACATTTTTTTATTTTTAGAATTTTTTGTTAGTGATTTGAATCTAGATATTTTATAACTTATTTTAGAATACATTATGAAATTTATTATTAAAAAAAATTACAGTATATTGAGCCATTAGACAACACACAAATAAATTATATTCATACTAAGACTTAGATTTTGAATTTTTAGAAAAGACGACGTCGAAGAGATCAACAGTCAAATTTGTTTGACGACAATGATGAATCAATAAAACAATTAGCTGATCATTATGAGCATAAATATGTAAGTTTTTATAAATTTTCAAATTAATGTATTATTATGGATTAGAATGAAAATTCACAAATTTCATTTTTGTTTTAATTAAATTAAAGATTTTGGGTATAACAGCCAAAATAAAAACATTTTTTCATATAAATATTTTCTTGATGAAACTTGCAATGTAAATTTTGTTGAAACAGTTATATTTGTTCTAATTAAGTTATACTCTTATAATTTAAGTTAGTTGTAAAATGATCAAAAAAAAAAAAAAAAAAGGGGAATGGTTAAAAACTTAAATTTTTTTTAAATATATGCTTTCAACATATTTTGAGAAAAAAGTCATAAAGTAAAATCAGGGTTAGATGATATGATTTGGTACTTAAATAAATTATCATTTTGCATTTATTAGGGATCTACTAATGTCAAAAAAAAGAAAAAGAAGAAAACTGCTTTCTATAATTATTCAGAACTTGCAGCTGGTTATGATGAAAATGATTCATTCATTGATAATACTGAAATAGTAAGTATTTTAGTTAAAATGAATTTGTATAATGTAATTTTATTACTTTTAAAATAATAAAAAAAATCAAATATTCAAGTAAAATATAAATTATAGAATTTGAGATGTAGTAATGTAATATTAAACCCATTAGATTTTATACACTTTCATCTATATCTAAAACAAAAATCTCTTCTTCTTCTCCCTTGCCTTTATCTCATTTACTTGGAGTCAGTCAGCTAAACTTTTACTTAATATGTTTTCTCCATCGTCTGTGTATTTCAGCATTCTTTATATCACTCATTCTTAATTACATCCAACAATCTATTTTTGGGTCTTTTTCCTCCTCTTCTTCCTTTAAGGTTTATTTTTATAACCGTTCATACAGCTCCTGATTTCACTTCAAATTATCTAAGCGTATTTTTTCTCATCTTATTCACGATTAACACTACTCCTATGCTTCCTCTTACATATTTATTTATTATCCTATCTTCTCTTGTCACTCTACTCATCTATCTAAGAAATCTCATTTCTGCTTCACTCATTCTCTACTCTACTTTCTTATCAACCCTCAACACTCTAAACCATACATCATTGTTGGTTTCACTCTAGTCTTATAGAACTTACCTTTTAGGCTGATTAGGATTCTATTCAAAACACCAGACGTTTGTTTTCACTTAATCCATCTGTATTTAATCCTATGTTTTACATTCTCATAAATATCACCATTCATTTGTACAAATGATTGTCAATATTTAAAACTTTCCACCTTAATTATCAAGTCTTCGTTTTTTGTCTTTACCATACTCGTTTCATCACCCTCATGTTCTCTTTTGTCAAACTTATACTCTATATACTCTGTCCTCTACTAATCCTTAATCCCTGACCTTCATGGGCTGCTCTCCTTATCACAAGTCTGTAGTCAATTTTTTCCTTTTTTCTTCTAATAAAACTATTATCAGCAAACAATGAATTCCTCGTTTTTCTATACATAATTTTTACCTACCTTAGTACTAATACTTTCATACATATATTCTATTACATTTATATAGGTTTCTGGCATTCTTTCTCATTACTGTCCACTTTAAACCTCTCTTAACACTCTGTCATACTCCTACTCTAAATCTATGAACACATTATATAACTTTTTATTCTTCTCCCTATACTTTTCTATTAGATGTTTCACACAAAGTACCAACTTCAGCATTGACTTTCCAGACAAAAAACCTAACTGATT